GTTTGCTTCTAAAATGACCTTATCTGGCAAAATAGAAAGTGTGTCAGTGATTCCCTGACACAGATGTGAGTTAGTTCTCGTGTTTAATGCTATGTGCCAATGAGAGTAACACTCTTTGTCCATATGATGAAGAATACTTCTCATCCTCCTTGCTTGGGATATGTGGGAGATTCCTTCACCTTCAGAGTCCCAGCTGGAAAGTAGGAAGTTTAGGGCCTGGAGGTCTAGATTAATTGTATCCCAGGAGGGAAAAGCCCCCATCACAGAATACTGTGTCTAAGTTGCTCTTCTTTGTTTTGTTTTGTCAGTCCTTGGGCTTGAACTCAGGGCCTGGGTGCTGTTCCAAAGCATCTTTTGCTCAAGGCTAACACACTAACACTCTACCACTTGAGCTACAGCTCCAGTGCTGGTGTCCAGCATAACTTGCTCTTTTCATTAAAAAATAAAATAAATAAACAATAAACTCCTTTCTTGGAGTTTTATTTTTTTTTTAATTTTCATACACTACACATGCCACAAGCACATACATTTGGATTCAGTTGAAGAAAAGGGTTTGTGTCTTGCCTTCCTATAGACTTTGCTGTCAACAAAACCTGGTCTGGTGCTACTAGCTTAGGGCTGAGGCTGGCTGCCATTCCTGGTATCTAGATCCCTGAGCAAAGGGGTATCTCAAATCCCTGAATATGGATCACAGCCTCCAAATTACAATTTTAGAACAAGATGTACTTTAAAAATTAATAGGATGGCCTGGCTCTGGTGGCTCATGCCTGTAATCCTAGCTACCTTGAGATCTGAGGATTGTAGTTAGAAGCCAGTCAGCACAGGAAAGTCCATGAGACTCTTACCTTCAATTAACTACCCCAAAAAGCTAGAAATAGAGCTATAAGTCAAATAGTAGTGTACTAGCCTTGAGCACCAAGGTTCAAGGACAGTGCTCAGGTCTTGGGTTTAAGCCTCAGGACCAGCACCAATAATAATAATAATAATAATAACAATAATAATATCAGCCAGGTACCAGTGACTTATTCCTATAGTGCTAGCTACTCAGGAGGCTGAGATCTGAGGATCTTAAAACCAGCCAGGAAATCCATGAGGCTCTCATCTCAGTTAACCACCAATAAGCTGGAATTGTAGCTGTGAATCAAGTGGCAGAGCACCAGCCTGGAGCAAAAAAGCTAAAGGACAGCACCTAGGCCCTGAATTCAAGCTCTAGTAGTGGCAATAAACAAAGCAAAACACCCATGACCACCAAAGCAAAACACATTAACATCATATGGTGTGGTTTAGAAGATTCATTTGCCCTTCTTTCTGGAGATCCTAGCAGGTCTGGAAGGCCTGTCTAGTCACTGGCCCTTAGTTTTTCATGAAGAGAGGGGGAATTGCTGGCTGCCGTCAATGAGGAGGGAAAGTTTGTAATGCACTGTAGTTCCCACTTCCTTCTGGATAAGCTCACCTTATTTTCTGCAGATGAAACTTGAAACACAATTGTTTGTATGAAAGTAAGGGTTAACTGCCAACCAAATGGGAAGCAAAAAATCAGGGAACTGGTGTTCATTGAAACACCTTGTGGTGGAATGGCTTCAGATCTGTGTTTCTGCTTCAAACTGGAGTTGAGCAATAGAAGAAGCCAGGCTGTGGGTATTTCCCATTGTGGAGGAGGGAGTTAATGACCAGAGCTTGAGCTTATATCATTAGCTTCCCTGGAAATAACCCCACACACTCTCTGCAACACAGTTCTAAACCAAAGCAGCCTGGTTTCTTAGCTTTTCTTGGAAAAGGCATTTCTAGGAGTGTTTGGCTTGGCCTGGAGCCTGAGTAGCCTCACCTGAATTGAGTTTCATAAGAGGGGCTCTGAGCAATCTCCCTGTGGCCATCTATTCAGTGATCCTAGATTGGAACAGTAAATAGCCCTGTCACAAATTTGGCCCCCTAGGTGTCTGCAGTCCTTATTCCCAAGTGAATAGGAGCTACAACCCATATGTCTTCCTGAGCTTAACTTGTTATAGACAGTCCCAGTAGCAGGAAGAACCAGAAAGGTTTGGATGGCAGAAATGGAGACTCCCACACCTCCTGAGCTCATCACACACTGCCTTGGGTTTGGATATAATCTAGCTGAGTATACCCTTTTACTTTAAGGTATGGCATAACTGGCTCTTGGATGCTGATTTCCTCAAGCCTATGGTTTGCAATATTCAATGTACATGTGTAAAAACTTACTCTGAGGCTTCAATAGAGGGACCCAACTGTTCTCTTTGTAAGATTTGATGAGTCCTTAGTACTAGCCATGTCCCAAAGATTTTCAAGTCCCGTGTTAACTTAGAAGGGGCTTGCTGACTATTATATCTCTGTGGTCTTCACCATGCATTCTGGGGCCCTTTTGTTCATTCACTTGACAGTTTCATTCATTCTAGATTTGCTTTTGCTTTTCTGACTCCTGCATTCTTCCTTGCTTGCCTATGCTCAGAAACCCAATATCCTCTAGACAGAGATTCACTAGGAGGAGTAAAATGCAGGGGCTGCAATTGGGATCCCCCTGGGCACCCTTGTGGTCCTCAGTGTGGAAGGACTAGAGGACAACAGTGTGATCCTTCTAGCCATCCCTTGAAGCTAGTCAGTCAGGATCCTAGAGTCCTAATAGCCTGTAATGGCCCTGGGATTTACGCCTGGCTCCTTCCTCTTGGCTTGTTTCCTGTGTGCAGTGACTTGCAGAAGGACAAGCTGCCCTGCATATTCATGATACAAATTGCAGGTCAGCAGCCTGTAGTACTTCTGGACTAGATGTGTTGACTCAGGATTTCTAAAATTGTCAAATTAGTTTTTAATATCAGGTAGAGCACATTTGATCATTAGTGTTAGCAGAATGTTTGTTTGATTGTTCTCAGGAAGAGATGTTTACTAGGAAGCCTTGATAAGGGTTTGCTCAGGCCCAGACAGCAGGGCCCTGGCTTCCTCCAGAGTCTGACCTGTCTAGCTTGCTGGTCTTCCTTCCTGGGAAGTCATCTCTGTGGCACAGGCACTGATACAAACCTAGGCATGGTATTTGTAGCTTCCTTGCAAGAAACTAGAGGCAAAAACAGGTCACTTTTCCTTCATCTGGAAGGGCAGGTGTCCCTAATCTAACTCATCCTCATGCCCTTCCAGTGAAAGCCAAGGGTAGAGCTGAAGGCAAGTAGAATATTCCCAGGGCCTGGGCACTTGGCTTCCCCTAACAAAACTAGGGCAGCTGGCCATAGTTTTAATGCTTCCAGGTCAAAAGCTTTCATTGCCAACTACAAACAATTGATTTTGTTTGCAAGATGGGGAGCTTTACCAGCACCAAGCTTGCCCTCTGTCTGCAGCCTTCAGATGGATGATTTGCTCAGGCTGCAGTCTTCCACCTGTCAAGTTCCCCAGTACCCGCCTTACCCTTTCTTACATTCAGCTTCACTTCTGGAGCTTGTATTCTGAAGTCTCAGTATTCACATTTTAAATATAAAGATTATGGCAAAAATGCCTTCTTGCCTACTATTACCAGTCAGTGTTTGGGCAATTCTCCAAGCTACTTTCTATGTTTGCCTCTGGGAAAGTTATCAGAAGTTGATGCTGTAGTATCCTGTTAGCTAGAGAATTTGGAGATTAGTCTGGAGCTCTTGGGATGGGCTGCTTGGCCCTACTACTCATGGCAACACTTGTGCTTGGAACAGTATATTGGTGTATGTTACATATGCATGTATCACACATTTAATTTTTCTTCCACCTCTTCCCTATCTCACTCTCACTGAGCACCTCTAGGAAAGCTATTGATTTTCTTCTACGATCCATCTCTAGGGTGAGTTTTGATGCTATACATGAGCTTCTTGGTCTGAATCCAGGGTATTGGCTATTTGCTAAGCAAGTGCTCTACCACCTGAGCTTTGCCACCATTCTAATTCATTTTCTTTTCCCTCTGCAATCAGAAACTACATGATTGCCTTGAAACATATCTGAATCTCTCATAAATGGCCAGTATTCAATCAGTGTTCAAAGGGAAATGAATTTAGTGTATGACAGCATTTAGTATTTTTAAGCCTTAGAGGCCATCTGTAGGTACAGTTTATGAAAGAAGCAAGTCTTGTATCCCCTCAGTCCCCACATTTAATTCACAAACCACTCCAGAATTCTGTCCAATTGGTATGGGGCATATAGCTGCCTAGGAATTCAACAAAGTAGAGCTTCAATCCTTCTTAGGTCTGTTCTCAAGTGACCAGGCATGTGAACTTGGTCTCTGAAAAATAGCTCCATAAGGAGCAGCCTATGGGTGCAAGTAAGGTTTTATAGGTAGGCTTTCCCTAGATAGCTATGGGCTGAAGAAATGACCAGAGAAAGGGGTGGCCCCCCAAAACAAAGGATCTAAAGAAGAGAAAGGATCATGGCATTCGTGCCATATTCAAGACTTCAGAGTTTGCAAAGCATATTGGCCTCAGATAGCCTAGAAGGTATTATTCCTACTTTCTGAGTTGCCCTTCTTAGGCCATACTTAGTGGCAGAACAGGGATTGGAGCTGAAATTTCCATTGTTCTCTAGTGGCATGCAGAGAAGACCTACAGAGTCCAGGGAGATGATTGTGGGAAAATGCTTGTAGGCTTTTCAGTTAGTCAGAAGTAAACTCAGGAAGCAAGTACACACAGTAAGAACTTCATGGGGTCACTGGCTATGCAGCGTTCACAGCTGATATGAGGGTCCCAGTATGTGCTATTGATCACACTGAACAAGAGTAGGAACCACCATTTCCTAGATAGGGAGAACCATATGCTTCAGGGATGGCTTGCAGAGAAGTTACAAAAAATTCTGGATAATTGGAGATCTTACCAAACTTCAGCATGCTTGTGACCAAGATCAAGGCTGAGGCAATTCCAGACAGACAGAGTGACTGAACATTGAAGGGATGGGACTTTTGTGACCTTAGAAACCTTAGGTAAATTTCTCTTTTTGTTGTTTGCTGAATAAAGGATGACACTTTTTTGTTTTTCTTCCTGTGCTAGAACAAGACATTTCAAAGAAAGTATTAAATTTATTCATGAATGCCGGCTCCAAGGCGAGGGCTGTCTTGTGCACTGGTACGTATGTCTTTTGTTAGTTAGCATGTTGTGGTCAGCTTGAATTCCATCAGTGTCTTTCTATATGGTGGTTCATTATTGTATCTCTTACTCATTTTCTCTGAACTCTGAATCTCAAATATACATTCAACCTGTGCCCTGCTATGTGTTAGTCTTTTTTTGGGGGGGGTGGGGGGGCATTGTTGTTGAAAGTAACTTAGTTGTTTTGCTTTTATTTTGTTTTTTTTTTCCTTCACTCACTTCTAGGATATCTGGAAGGTAGGACAACAGATGCTGTCCTTTGCTGGCTTGTCTCTTAACATTTCATCTGAATAGCATGCCAACCTCAGTGGTTTTCAAAGTTCCCCCCCAACCCTTTCTGGAAAGTTTAGATTGCAATTGTGGGTGTTTAGCAAGGCATTACTGTAACCAAAATAAACATTTCTTGGCCACTTCAGATTGAGGTTTTTCTTTATTCTTGCCTTTTTTGTTTTGACTCACTCTACAAAGATTCTTAGAATTAACATACACATTGTATTCAATATTATAAGTAATCTAGAGTATCATAGGTATCATAGGTATATCAAATAAGTATAGGTATCATATATCATTGGCATATCAAATACTATGCTGTTTTGTATAAGAACTTACTTGAGCATATGTGAATTTTGCTATCTGCAAATGAATGCTGAAATTCATGTCCAGTGGATACCTGTGGACACACACACACACACACACACACACACACACACACACACACACACAGTGAAAAGTTATAGTTAATCCAGGGATAATCTAAAACTCTTGCTTTTTGTATGGTGAATGGTGAACACAGCACATAAGTTCTCATTTGTATTACAGCTAGTAATCATACTAATAAGTTGGCTAATTTGCCTAGGGAATTAGTAGTCAATGTTCTAGATCTGTGGTCTGGTCATTCTCCTCTTCAATGTGGTGTATCATTTATTAACTGAAAATATAAGTCTCTCTTGACTCCCCCAAAGAAGCCATCCCTGCAACAAAGCTGGGATGCTGCTGCTCAGACTGGGGATAGCTCTGCCAGAGAAGCCAGTTAGGAAAGCTTGGCTATGAGATATCTCAATACCTTTAAGACAAGTGTTCTGCAAATTTATATGACTTTGAAAGTAGTTTGTTTTCTTACATTTCACAGTATAAAAGAGTGAGAAATGTAAATACAAATGTGGGTTTTCAGCCTTCATTTAGATTGGGTTTAAAGTTTCTTGGTGATACAGGCAAAGACAGTTGAAATGGAAGGAGCTCTACAATTCTAACCCCTGGTTTTTCCAGGTCCCTGGTGAATTCGCATGTCCAGGGCTTCAGCCTACAGGGGGATGTATTTTTGAAAACTCTCTTGGGGTTTCTCATAAAAAGCCCTGATGAAGAGCCAATACTGCAAGTAAGGTTTTTATTTATTATCATCATTATCAGAATTCATCTCTCATACGGTTGTATATATCTGAAGATAAGGCTTCTCGAAAAATGATACGTTTACTGAACTTCCTCATCTTAAACCATTGCTAGAACAATCCATGTGTGAAGAGCCACAGCCTTTCTGTGACTTTTCTTAATTTGCATATGCATTTAAAACTGGTCTCCTTATTCAGCATGATAGAGATAACTAACGGTTATTATTCTGCATGCATCACCCAGACCCCAGTCTCAGGGCTCATGCAGTAGGCCTGCTCTGCTGCTCTCCACTATTATGTTGAAACACGCACACACACAGAAACACACACACCTCCATTACCACACCCCACATACAAATAAGATTTGGCAAGGACTACTAAGATTTCTCATGGGCTTAAAAATTATAGGTGTAGCCATCATACAAAGTAGCTAAGAGACTCTTTAAATGTGTTAGGATATGAATGAGACTGTTGTTGCATCAATCTTGGAAGCCTCACATCTCATGAGTGTAGCTCAGTTATTGTCTAAGACATGGAATCTTCTCAGAAGGGCTCAGGGGCAATGTAAAGTCAGAAAGCAGAAGTGTCTAGACCCACTCTGTATAAAATGAAAGAAAAATGAGGCTAAAATACCTAAAAGTTGCCTGAGATCCTGTCATCTCAAGTAAAGGGAAATGTTATGTTTCTGAGTGATTTCTTGGTAAGTGCTTGCCTTTGCCCCCACATAATGCAAGGCAGGAAAACTCTAAAATGATATCCTCCAAGTTCCCTTCCCCAAATGAAGTGGGAAAACTAGTGTCAAAACTGTCTTTGTACATGACTGTCTTGGTTCTGCAGCCTGGCTGGAGTCTCCAGGAGTGTGACGCTGGTGATTGCATACATTATGGTTGTCACTGACTTTGGCTGGGAGGATGCCCTACATACTGTGCGTGCAGGGAGGTCCTGTGCCAACCCCAACCTGGGCTTCCAGAGGCAGCTCGAGGAGTTTGAGAAGTGTGAAGTACAACAGGTAAGCAGTCCTCAGTGACCTTTCTGTGCTGGAAGCTGCTCGTTGGTCATGGCCTCAGTTCTTCAAAATCCTGGTGTTTGGGAAAGAAAAGACTCATAGAGGACATTGAGTCTAAGAATACCCACCTATATCTTGAAAGGAATTGCCACCACACCTGTGTGCCCCAACTATAGCCACAAGATCGTACCTTTTGCCGTTTTCCTTTTGCCTAGTACTCCAGATCTACTTGTCCCTCTCCCTTTATGCAAAGTACCATTTTGTTGATTTGGCTTACTTTCTACTTTTTTATCTTTTTGTTTTGCTTTGAGTTCATTTAAACCTAGTCTGATAAAACCTTAATCATGTAACCCAAAATTTTATATTTGGAGGAAGACAAGTTTATTATCTTTGTAAAACTATTTTAAATTGTAGAAGGTTTCTTCATGCTTCCTCCCAGACTCCTCTAATCAATCCTGGTTGCCATAGATGACACATGAACACATTTTCTGGCATCTGTCATGGAAGGAACCCTTAGTATTAGACTGTGACTACTCCACAGCTGCCAGACCAGGTGCATTTTGGGGGCTTATTTTATGTCCTTGGGCCAAAGCCCTGAAATCAGAGCATGTATTTCTCTAAGCTTAATACTGACTAGGCATATACAGAGTTGGCATCACCCATTGCTCTTTTATTTCCATGTGTGGCAACATCTCTACGATTAACTGAATATAGGTATATTATTAACTGAATATAGGTGAATATATATGTGTATAACATTTTGGATTTGTTTCCAACTTCTGCAGTATCGGCAGTGGCTGAAAGAAGAATATGGGGAGAGCCCTTTGCGGGATGCAGAAGAAGCCAGAAATATTCTGGGTAAATATAAAGAGCAAGGGCATATGGAATCCCAGCCTGGTGCCAGGAGGTGGAGCAGCTTTTCCACCCTGCCTTCTATGGCCTACAATAATTACACAACAGAGACCTAACACAGAGGGATCTGGTGTCTGCCTTCCTGCCTACTGCTGGTCTTCCGTGCTACCTAAGAGCCATGTGCTGGTGTGCTGGTTTGCTGGCTGCTGCCTCCAAAGATGGCAAAGGGAGATGGAATGCTCAGGGCTCCTTCCCCCGTGACCTGACTAAATCCTCCATCAGACCCCTTCACTCTGTCCATATTTACCCTGATGGCCTCACCTGAGCTTGCTACACCTGGGATATTACTGGGAAGCTATACACCACCGTGAGTGAGTTTGTGTGTGTGTGTGTGTGTGAGAGAGAGAGAGAGAGTGTGTCTGCATGTGAACACATGCATATGCATGTTTGGGCAACTATGGTTAGCATGTATGAACATGTAAAAAAGTAGACTCATGGGTACATTGTGAGAGAGTAGATTTATTTTGTTGGAAGTCATAAAATCCATGCTGCCAAGATTGGTGTGACCACCTGTTTTATTCAACTCCTCATGGAAGGCATTTGAATTTCACTTCTGGAAAGCTTCTTGCCGAGTAGCAGTTATACCTGTGAGCAGACAGTGAGAAGAACTCAGGGGCAGGAATAGCTGAAAGCAGTGGCCTTTTAGAGAAGGAGGGTAATGTGTAGGGAAAGGAGGCATGAGGCCCTTCCTAAAAGGGGAGTGTTTCCAGGTTCCCTGAGAGGCTGTGAGTATTGGACAGGAGAAGATATTCTAAGCATTCCCTTAGGCTTAATATTAAGTGCACAGGCCTTGGACTTCCTGCTGCCTCAGTCCAGGCCTCTTTTCAACCCAGCATGTCCCTGAGTTCTACTCAATGTCTGTCTCAACTGTATTTGAATTCCATGATGAGCAGAACTTCAGCCAAAATTGGCCTGAACCAGAGGGCCCATCCTGGCTCCTCTATCCAGTTTCTTGCACCCCACCCAGCCCCTGCCCCAGCCTCTTGTTATTCTCACTTGGCAGGGCTTCTTCTTGAGGTTTGCATGTACCTGTAGAAATATGGGGTGGGGTGGGAGAGCATTGATTAAACACTGTAGCAGTTACATTCTAAAATGCCTGACCATGTACTAAGCTCCTCTTTGATGTATGCTATGGATTTGTTCTTTGATCTCAGCTACCTCATTGTTTTTGAAAGGTAGGGTTTGTTATTGTGCTGGTCAACTCTGCCTCATGGCTGATAATATTTGGTCATAACTTTTATTAAAGCCCAAGGGGAAAAGTCATTATCATTGAACTATTTAGTTTCTGATTGGGCTCCCATACATAATGCGTTCTGGTGGGTAAAAATCTACAATTCAGCCATCAGAGCATCTGGTTTGCAGTTTGGAGTAGTAGACATTCTGAGATGCTATGCACATTTCAGTGGTCCAGTCCTTTATAATAATTTAAATTTCTTAAGCACAGAGTACCACATGAAAAAAAAATATTCTCAACTTCTCTGTGAAAAGATGTTGTAACCTGGTTTCTCTGAATTCTACCACTCAAAGAGCTCCTGAGTGAAAAGCAATTTTCCCACACAAAGAGGGCATCAAAGGCACACTCCTTAGAAGACCAGAGAAAATGCAGTTACCAACTCTGCATAAGTGTAAGGCCCTGTATAAATGATGAACAAGAAAGAGAAATGTGGCCTTAAAATTATTGATCTTCAGCAAAAACAGTTTTCTTATAAAGTACATTTTCCTTAATCCAAAAAGAAATTGAAATATGCTAGCTAAAGAATTATTTAGAGGGGCCAACAGTAGTAAACTATTTGCTTAACATACACAAAGTTCCAGGTTCCATCTCCAACACTGCAAAAAATAATGAGAAAAAAACATGTTTGGAATATTAGAATGAATACTTAAATCTACATGTGCATTTATGAACAACTATATGTATTTCTGTAAGTTTTGAAATGTTTTAATTTTTGTTGCCAGAAGTGTTCTTTCTCCACAGCCACCCCAGGAATTCTGAAGTACTGGTCCTTTCTCAGAAGACTGTAATGTACCTGGAGTTTCTGAAATATTGCAAAGTTCAGACTGTGCTGCCAAAAAGAAAATCCACTTAGAGTTTATTTTTAAGTTACCAGTAGTGATTTGTAAACTTTTGTTCATTTCAAACTGAATATATGTATAAATCATGTTGTATTGTATTGAGAATTGACAGCAAGAGCAAATATTTTACCTTAACTCCTCTGCCCTGACAGAGACTCTAGAATAATCTTGAGAGCCCTGCTATACTGTTTAATTTACTGTTTAGCAATCACAGTTGCTTCTCATAAACCCAAGGAATAAGCCAACACTTACAGATTGTGTTGATGTAAAGTCTACTCTCATGGTCTTCAGTCTCCCAGCTCAGGAAATATCTCTTGGTATATTTATTACCATGGTTTACACTCTCCATGGGGAATATACCGGATGCTATGTGTTTTTGTTAATAAAGGGCAACTTCATTAACATTGTGTAGTGTATTCTTCAGTGGGTAAGGTAAGAAGGCTTCATGCATTTCTCTCTATGAAGGACCACAAAGAAATACTTCAACTGCTCCTGGTCTTGGCCTAGAGTCTGTGCTTACCTCCAGAAGACAGTACAAGTACATGCTATGAATGTCACACTAATATTTCCATGATAGAAAAATTATCCTTGGGGCTGAGGATATAGCTCTGTGGAGAGCTTCTGCTTAGCATGCTTCTTCATACTATACACTAAAAGAAATTTGATCTTCAGTATCAGTTAAAAGAAGTTCTGTTATTGAAGTTATGTTTTCTCAAACAAAGTGAACACTAAATATTTGACATCCTTAGAATTGTCTACATTCAATGAGGAATACACAAGGACTGGTGTTCCAAAAACATTTGCCCCATTACTGAAGAGAGTTATTCTAACTCTATATTCAGCTTTTTATATAAGAGAAAAGAAACTGATTTGAATAGCAATTTGATTTGAGACCATTTACTAAATTTTCCTTTTGTAAATATGGTGCAGGATAAGTTTGGCTTGAAGGGAAGATAGGTAGACTCAGGGGCTGATAAACATGGACTCTGACTATAGATAGAAGGCTTAACATGAATTTATTTCTAATTTCTAGGTGTTCCTGGCATTACTCAGGGAAGGTAGAAAAGAACCCTCTGTGCTGGCAGCATTACCAGTGGACATGGGGATGAGTGCATTTTAGGCCACAAAACCACATAGAGCATGAAAGTATGTATTCTGACTGGACAAGTGAACCTGAGTGTGACAGGTACCCCTCTTGTAGTACCTGTGCATTTTCCATGTTTGCTAGACGAGGAGTATTGAGCATATCTCCCAGTCCCATATGTAGGGATATTCTTAAGGAGAGGGTGGTACATCCCCAGTAGTCTCAGGAGGACCTTTCTGTATACACAGGGCAGGCACACAGCAGGTAAAGAGGTCATGTACTCAGTCCCAATGCATCAAGGCCATTCTTCCTCACAGTCCTGCTGTCCTTTCTCATTAACAGGACTACATCTGACACCAGCACTCATGTAATCACTGTGTGGCACTCTACAATATGAACTGTCAGTCAGGTCTCTAAACTGGTGGAGAAGGAACTCTTTCACTCAACTCAGAAGGGCCAAGAAGTATACTTCACATTAAAACTGTCAGTTCTGTCAGAGGCTCACCTGCTGAGTCTCTGAATACTGAATCAGTGGGCAAAGAGGGTTGGGGGCTTCTGTCCGTAGCTAACGGTGCTCAGCCAAGTTGCCCTTTTGTCCTGCCAGGGGAAAGCCAGACCCACAACAACATCAGCATGACAGTTGACATCTAATGGTTAAAAAAATAAAAACAGTCCTGGCCTTTATCTAAAAGGATCCTGTGCATTCTAAGGCAGAAATACTTAGACATTAGGAGCCCCAGTCTTTTTCTGTCCATAACCAGAACAGGTGCTTGTCACTCACACTAGGTGTATACAGTAGAGGACTCCATACCTTCCTTGAGAGTAGGGAGGGCTTGGCTTGATACAATGAGGTGGCAGTTCCTTAAGCTGGTTTCCATTCTAGCCTGAAACTTGACATCTCTGTTCCTAAAGGAGAAAACTCAACTGAGTCACTGTTTCTCTTTTTATCCAGTCACTCACCTGATGGATCTGAACTTCACCACAGCAGAGGCTATGAGAATCTAGCCACTGCTAGTTTCTGATTTTCAAAAAGATGGAAATGGTAAGGCAATTAGGAAAACTGGCCATTACAGAACAGTATGGAAGGACCATTAACAGCTGCCCCTGCTGCCTTTTGAGGAAGTTTAAGGAACAGCATCTTGGTAGCATTTCACTTGAGATTTGAAGCCTAAATCAGAATCTGTGGAGAGGACAGAATAGTCAGCATGGGTTCTGAATGTAGGTGAGGTTGGAAGCATTAGAGAGCTCAGTGTTAGAGGTCACATGTCACTGTGTCAGAGTAGGGTAAGACATGGAGTGTGGGAACAATGGAAAGTGGTGCTGACAAGGCTGCAAACAGCAAAGGCCTAGCCAACAGGTTGTCCTATAGATAACATTGTTTCCCTGAAATTCTTGGGACTAGAAGTGTTTAGGATTTGGGATTGGGGGTAGATGTTTGCATATGTATCATGAGTTATCCTAGTGATGAAACCCAATATATAATTCTAAAATTCTTCATATTCTTCATATACACTTTAAACATACATGTACACTGAGCCTGAACATAATTTTATACAGTATTGTTTTTTAAACAAGTTTTTTATTGTGAAAATACTGTACAGAAGGGTTATAATCACATGAGTAAGGTAATGAGTACGTTTCTTATCAAGCATTGTTGCCTCCTCCTTTGTTTTTCCCCTACCATCCCTTCCTTCTCATCTCCACAACTATGCATCTGTTTCCATTGTCACATGAAGTCAAGTTCACTTGTGAAAATATAAGCATTCAAATTGTTGGATTTTTGAAATACTTTGAATTGCATATTTTGTGTTTAACATACAGTTTCAAACAGTTTTTATTTGCTAAGGTCCTGGTTATACATAAACTAGTGTATTTCTTATACCATCCCAATCAAGCCCAGTGAGATAAGGCCCTTTGCCTTGATTATTGAGCTGAGACCCTTCATGAAGTGCCAGGTGGTGTGTGGGTACTGTGCTGTGGTTACTGCAGGAGTGCATTGAACAGTGCTGAGTAGACTGGTGGGTGTTCTATGTGCCAGAGGGGAAAGGCTTCCTTGGGTGTCCATTGAGAATGGGGGTTCAGGATGGTTGTTGGGAGGCGTCTGTTACCACTGTCAGGTAAGAAAAGGTGGCACTTTGAGTCAGTCATGGAAATAACTGCCAAGCAGGCAAATGGACTTGAAGGAAGGAGACTTGGGATGAACAAGAAGTCATTGATAGTGACTGAGAAAATGTGAGAGAATAAGGGCTTAAGAACCTGTCTGTTCTCTGGGCTCTTGTTGCCATCACCATAGTTCTTTTGTCTCTGTGCCTCCCTGTCCTGTATGGCAGTATATGCCTGAATCATACTAAGGTTAGATTTAAAGGAAATGCTGGAGAAGGATTGGCTGGGTCCCAGATCTCAGGGTACCAAGGAGGCTTATCCCCATTTTGTAACTAGAGTTTGTAACCAGAGTTCAGAATAAATTCCCAAGTTGCCCAGACACCAGAATCATGACATTTCATGTCACATATAAACCTCTAATTTCCTTATTTACTGAAAGGGAGACTATAATAGGATTTCCAAAGACTAACTTATCCCCTGGCCAGGCTATGGATCCTTCTCTCATCAGAACTTTGGGAAAATCTGTTTAGTATGCTGTGAACATGGACAGTCAGCACATGAGTTTAAGGGCTGGGGCCTTTTTCCTGACCAGATGCATCCCCTGGCATGAATACTCTTGTCATGTAAGGCCATGTATTGCCCCCTGTTCTGGCCTTTATCTGGCTGGACAGGGCTGATTGTGCCATAAAACCTCCTTTCCTGGATCCATCCCCATTCCAGCTACACCTGCTTACAAACTCTCCTAGCCCAAGGTGATTCTTTGACTTAAGTCAGAGCACCTTCCTTAAAAGTGGACATGTTTTGCTTTTCCCTAAAGAGGGAATAATGCAAGTAGCTTTTTAAATTTTTGAGTACTGATTCTTTCTATCTAGTTTCTCCCTTATCAGGAGCCCTATTTCAATTCTTGAAGATACCTAGTGTCAGTCATTCACACAGACAACAACTATGAATTCTGGTGATTGAAGGGGTTTTTTTGTTTATTTTTGTTTGTGTGTGTGTGTGTGTGTGTGTGTGTGCATGTGTGTGTGCGCGCGCGTGCATAGACACAATGTTTTGTTTTTAAATTTTTATTTAAAATGATTTCTTAGCTCCCAGGAAGTCATATCACCCATGTCTGGAAGCCTGCCAAGCTCAGACACCTGGACCCTTAGGAAGGTAAAGGCATCTGGTACTTGGCACTAACAGAAGTATCTAAACTTATATCTCATAGCCAGAGGTGGTCACCAAGTGCCACTCTGCATGCAGTCTCTCATGGAAATAGAGAATGTATGGAGACTCTCACCCCTTCCATCCTACATTATATGGCTCCTCCCATCCTGACCCTGAGTTACTAATTTTATTAAGAATGCACTTTCAACACTCTTGTATTTATATATATACTTAACAAGAAGTCACCAAGACTGTGCAGGGTGGTTCCTCTTCCCTTTCCTTTCTATTGCCCAAAGGGGAAAATATAAAGAAAGAAACTTCCTTTGACTTTTCACTTGCAAACTTCATTCCCTCCTCCATGAAATGGAATCTCCTGGCCCCCATATGCACTAGAACATATGACCCATCATGTGTCCTAATAACTAGAACATCATTATTTCAGCATCATTTCTGCCAGTATCATAATTAGTATCCTCTTGCAGCTCAGAGTCACCAGCTGAAATTAACATCTGACAAATGCTTTGCAAGTGCTGAGCCCCAGTCTCTATCCATCATGGGAAAGAGTTGCTGGTGCATGTTTGAACATCTGCAGGTTTGGGTTTATTTTGACTCCACATTGCTATGCAAACGGTTGATCATAAGAGTGAACAGTTTACAGTTATCCTTCCTGAAGCTTCTAGTTCAGTTATTAGACTTTGGTTGTCCAAGAGCTATTTTAGAAGGTACCTGAAAGTACAGGTCCTTTAGTAATGCTAATTGCAGGAGAGGGTACTGATTGTTGAATTAGGAGTCAGTTTAGCAGGAGAGACATTCGGATTGCATCATTCTGGACTTATACTGGGTCTGATTTTTAAAACTAGGTGGTAGGAATTGAAGGGACAGTTGATTTGTCTAATGATTCCTCCAAGGAATCATCCCATGAGGGACATTGTTTGGGAACAGTATTGATCATATAATCTGCCTTATGAAGGAACAACAGCAGTTTACAGTTTACCTGCCAACAGGCATTCAGGATGCACTTTAGTGACATGTGGCATTTGTGTAGAAGACATGCCAGAGATAGGAC